GCTGTGGGGGAGGCGGGCGGAGGCGAAAAGACACAGGCTGAGAACGCTGGGTGAGCTCGCCGGTGAGACGGCTGGGGCCTGCGCCATTGGACTGGGTCTGGAAAACAGTGAGGACGATGAGCAAAAATCTTTGAAAAAAATGAGATATTTACAGCACTTGTGCTAGCTGAGCTATATGGGGTTTCGAGCTGTTTGCTCTTGAGTCGTGGCCCAGTCGGTGGGGAGATGGCGGCAGGCCCAGTGGGCAGGCTGTGTCCGTTCATATGCTGCTTGGGTCGCACACCAACCTTTGCAGACGAAAGGCCATAATGGCTATTCACACCGTTGGTGAGACTGCGAGGACCTGTAGGAGGAGCAGCTCCTATTCTGCCAGACGTGGATGCTGTGGTAGAAGACGAGGAGGCAGCCGATCCAGCTAGCGAATTCAACAATGCTCGAGGAGCTCGTGGAGGAGCCTTCCCCGACATCGACGGCCGTGACAAGAGCGAATATCGCGGGCGAGGGACAGACGGCGTCGGGGTCGTGGTGGTCGAGGAAGAAGAACAGCGGCGCGGCCACGCTCAGTGTCCGATTCACATCCACCCGCCGTTTCTTCGTTCTATCGACGACGACGAGACTCGATGCGCAATTGAACAAATAAATCTCTACAAGAATCAAAGCTGACCCGGGTTGTATACTGCAGTCGTCCTATCCCCTCCCCATCCCACCCATCACAGCCTCATCCAATACCATCCACAGCCTCGCTGCTTCTCTTGCAACCATGCTGCTGTCTGCTATCCCTGCTCAGTCCGGAATAAGTCTGAAATGCGCAGAATGTGAAACGAATGCCGAGAATAATTGTGCGGAAGAGAGAACGCTGTGGCTGAGCCAAGACGTGGACAGGTAGACAGCCACACACTCATACGCTCTGCAGACTGCCTCGCGGTCAGCATGTCTCGCCATTCTTCTTTTCGCCCATGCATCGATCTCCACGATGGCCAAGTGAAGCAAATCGTCGGCGCAACCCTCTCAGAGACTGATCCTAGGACTCTCCGTACAAATTTCGTAGCCAGGTTCGCTCCCGATCACTCTGCTCTCTGAGTGGCACTGAGCGCGCCCTCACACAGTCACCCGTCTGCTTATTATGCAAGGCTGTATAAACAGCATTGCCTAGAGGGTGGACATGTTATCAAGCTTGGACCAGGCAATGATGGTGCGGCGA